TTCTTCTTTCGCAAAACCTCGCTAACATTCAGAAAAGTTGTGAAAGCCACAGATGCCATGAAACTTCACAAGGTCTACTGGGCACGTGACTTGCAGGCTCGCGCTGTAGTTGCGATTGGCCCGAGAATCAACTGATGATCGTCACAACCCTCGCATGCCGAGACCAACAGCAGAGAGAGTCCCATGTGGGCCAAGGCATTTTCGTTGATCCATCGCCCGAATACTCACAGGAGGCTGGTGGACAGGGGGAGGGGTGGTAGAGGCTCCTGACCATTACACCTGGGTTCAGTGATCGGGTTGCAGGTTTGCTTGAACCCGAAAGCAAAAAATCCCAAACCTTAAGACCCCTCAAGCCCTGAAGCCCATAAATCCGAGCCCTGAGCCCCGAGATTCCAGACCCTGACATCCTAATCCCCAAGCCGCATACAATGTACTATATAGAGATATACGCAGTATATTTGCCCATCTTTGCCATATCTACAATACATATACACTGCATACACTGTATGTGTATACTCTCTTTATGTATACACACATGTGTATATATATATATATATGTGTATATATATATATATATATTATGTATGTAGGTATATATATATATATATATATATATATATATACATATATATATGTATGTATGTATGTATGTATGTATGTATATATATATATATATATATATATATATTCATTCTATATCTACTATCCTCTCGTCTGAAGGACGGCCCATCGGCTCTCCTTGCTGCAGCAGCTCTGGGCGCCCGTCCCTGCTGCCGGGATCTTGCAACTTTTGGGTTTGTTTAGGGGCTACTATGGGGGTTCCTATAACTTAGATAGTGAAAGGGGGAACCTCAAACTTTTTGGCCTTATATATTAGCTCTATCTTAGAAAGTCTGAACTTTTTGTCGCCCGGTTGTTGAAGAACAGAAATAATAAGTTTTCCCTAAGGTAAGGGCTGTTATCTCAAGGCAGTTCTTTAGGGTCCTCAGACTGTCTAATCAGGGTTACCGTAGCCGTTTAGAGTTTGGCTTTGGATAAGCAGATCTACAGAGGATATAGGAGATGTTGGATATCTATATCCATCTACAGAAATACATAGATAGACATTCGATTTGGAGTTTTCCGCTGTTTGAGAGGCAGTCTCTTGTGCGTGTTGGTGCGCTAAGGCTCCTTTAGTGCCAGAAGCCCCGAAAGTTGCAAACTCTTGTCCTTGGTTTGTTTACTGCAGTGGATGAACGGGCTTCTCAAGAATACTGCGTTTTCTCCTGGGGGTGGTGCCGGACGTCGTCGGCCTGCAGAAATGCTAAACCCACAGCTCTTACACGTGTTGCAAGGCCTGTCGAGGCCGGAAGGCATGGGGGGCCCCAGGCCATGTACTAGTAGCTTCCTCGCTATTCGATACACTTACGGGCGTTGTGAGTCCATGTTTCATCCGCTTCATCTTCGGGTCAGCCACAAGATATGCAACACAGTCTTCTCGAACATATCTCGCACACGAGCCATATGCCCTAAACCCCTAAACCCCAAACGGCTTAAACCCAAGTCCAAACAAGGTCTAGTGCGGCCTTTGCATGCCTTCACACCGGAGGGCCACCTGGTGCTGTCGAGATCCCGGTATTTTGTATGTCTCAGTCACAGCCACAAATGGGCCTTGGGCTTTAGGAGTCTAGGCTTTTAAGGCATAGTGTGTAAGGTTTGGATGTAGGGTTCAGAGATCGGGGGCCATAATGTATGCACACATGGATACTGCGTTTGTCTGTTTGGAGGATACAACACATTGGCTCCGTGTGGAGTCGTTCGGCCCTGATGCAGTCAGGTTTGGGGTGCCTGGTTAGACATTCGACTATTGTCCGCAGGGCGCTGCAACTTGTGGTAAAGCCTGTAAAGCCTCCTAAACTTGAAATTCTAGATTCCTAAACCTTACACCGAACCTTGCGCAGTCTCGCGAGGTTTTTCGAACATACGAAATTGCAAGCCGAAGTTCCCAAAGTGTCGTTTGTTACAGGGACTCCGTGAATCTTGGCTTTTACTTGCCAGTATGTAGTGGTCACATGTTGCATATTGTGGATAAGGGTCCGCTTTTGGATATTGGGTGTCATCAGTGGCGTTTTTGAAGATGCACCCCCACACAGAGAAGGGGTGGCGTTTGCATAGCTCGGATTCATTCAAAGTGTGATTCCTGAGGTCGCCCCTAACGGAGCACATGCCTTACTCAAAAGGACCGCGTGCTGGTTTAGGGTCTGGGGTTATGCGGTACAGGGACGTCGCACGATGCCTGCACTTGCTTGCCGCTCGGTTGCTATCGTCTTGCAGAAGTGCATCAGATGTCGTAGTCGTAGTGACCTGAATTCTCACCGAGAAGGTAAGCTATCTAATCTACACTCCCCCTCCGTCACCTTTGTAACAGCATTTCTTCTTTCGCACGCAGTTGAATACATATTTGCAAGCTGACATCCCGGCAGGCATGAAGCTTCAACTCCATTGTTTCAGTCGCGAAACGGTGGAGAGCCCGGAATCTCCATGTATTTCAGTGCATTCAGCTGTGAATGAACTGCGAAATCCTGGTCTTGTGCTAAGTGGCCTACTACAGAGGCCTGAACCATCAGTAGTCATAATATTCCCTTATAGTTACCAAAACCCTTTTTATGATGATTGCTTTCACCGTGCTCAAATTCTGGGCGCCGGCTTCATGCTTCCATGCAAGCAGCCATGGAACTGAAGCAACGGAGACAGAGACTCTGAAGCGCGTTGGTAGTTGGAATGGTGTTGGGTGTAACCCACTCACCCCGAAGCCTAGACCCTAAGCTCGATAGTATTATTGAACTACCGGCGACAAGCGTGTATCGTGACTGTCTATCACCCAAAACCTATTGACAGGAGTGCTGCAGGCTCTAACCTTACCCAGCCTACGATGGCCGCAGACCCCTAAATGCTGAAAAATATGCAACCCAGAGCCTAAGGCCTAAGCCCGAAAACACCCTAAGCTCTTCCACCTGGTAAGGAATTCTAGCTGTACACAGTCGGAAAAGAGCCCATAACAAAAAAGGAAGCTCCACCGAAAATCCCAATCCCGATGCATTTGTTTTGACCGTTGCCGTCTCGAGACTCGGCCCTTAGCTGTAGTCTGATCTGCGGGGCCAGCCAGTGCCGCTTTGCCGACTTTCGGTTTAGTTTGGGGTTCAGGGGTGTAAGGGTTTAGGGTTGGGGTTACCTAGACCCCCGAAAGTAGGTAAAACAATGGCCCAAAACCCATAAAAAGGCTATTATTCTACATACTTTTGGGGTCCAGGTAAGGTTTAGTCAAGGTTTGAGGATGCAAGCGGAGTGCAAGACTTCTGGGGTTTGGGGTTTCAGCTGTGCGGGTGTGCTTCGACTGTATCATCATGAGTGTTGTTTATGCGACTCTGACTGATTACCCAGAGAGCCCAATACCCCTTAATTAAGGAATATGGCTTAAATCATAATATGAAGCTCTATATAATTTAAGCCATATTCCTTAATTAAGAGGTATTGGGCTTTCTGGGTAAGGACCTTACGAGCCCCACCATGACTTCCCATTGTTCCCATTGCCTGTCAGTGCTTTCTGCTCATCTGAGTCAGGGTTTCCAGAGTCTGAATTAGGACTCTTGCAGCATATTCAACGTCTTTTCTCAATCCTTTGAAGGATTTGGGAAGCAAGGCGTGGGGCTTTGTATACATCGGGATTCGGGTTTTTGTCTCTCCGTGCGTAGGGTTTTAAGGTCTAGGGTTAGGAGCTGAGGGCTAAAGCCTTAGCTGGGTTGGGGTTTACAACAAGGAACATACCATAATTCCACCACAAGTCTAGCATCGTTAAGGTCATGCAGGGTTATGTCATCAACAGTATGGCCCACACTTTGCCACTCTGGAGGCCCCGCCGCGGCCCCATGGACGCGCCACACCTCCCGCTCAGACAGACAGACTGCCTGGAAGACCACTTGGAGGCGTATGCGAGTTCGTACGGACGTACATACATACATACCTGCGCACATACAATCATGCATGCATACATATATTAAATCCTAAACATCCCTAAACCCTAAACCTGCATACCCGCGCATACACTATGCACAAATCCCCCAGACAAGCGCCCCTGATAACTTGATAGTTTGAGGTTTTGCGGTTCGGGCTTGGGCCTGCAGGTGGGTTCGGGCTCAGTCCCCATTACTGTACTCAAACCCCACAGCTGCCTTGAAGCCCTAAACACCTAAGCCCTAAACCCCTAAACCCTAAACCCTAACCCCCTAAACCCTAACCTCCTAAACCCTAAACCCCAGCTAGGTTGATGGCGTCCCCCTTTGTGAGAACCTCGAGGCCCTTTGTTCCAATGGAAGGTCAGAATAGTCACTTGACTAAGGTCCCTTACAGTAGTCCCTATAACCCATTCTCCCATTCCCTACACCCCAAGATCTATGATAGTCCCTTAATAGTAGTCCCTATAACCCATTCTCCCATGCCCTACACCCTAAACCCTACGACAGTCCCTTACTAGTAATCCCTACCCTAAACCCTGAACCCTAAACCCTGAACCTGCCCTTAATAGTAGTCCCTATAAAAACCCTTGTGCCATCTCACTCTTGGAATCGAAGGCCGCCTCCCCTGTGCGATCCGCTTCCTACAGCCAGAGAAGTCACCTGCTGGTACTTATGATCTTTGGTTTAGGATTTAGGGGGTTTAGGGTTTATCTGGTTTAGGGGTTTAGGGCTTAGGGTTTGCTTTCATGGCGTTGAGCTTAGGGCCTTTAGGATTCGGATGTATTTGTAGTGGCACTAATATCGGTTTGCGGAGGGGGCCGCTTCAAAGTCCAGCTTCGGTCGTGGGAACATTGAAGTCGTGCTCAGTTCTTGGACAAACAGAAGCTTGCAAGCGGAAGCGTTGAACATAGAAAAGCTGTGTTTAGTTCGAGTCATTTACGGCCCATGGTTCTCGTAGTGATCTCCGGGTGTTAACACGTTGCCAGACTCTTTGTGCTCCGGATGACAAGCGCTGACGATGCAAACCTTCTCGTTTCGTCTCTCTGGCTGGGACTGCCACTCTAGCTCCCGGAGCAACGGATAGAGCAGGCCAACCTGGAACAGGGCCCAAATTCTAAAGCGTTAAATCGCCGTTTGGGAGGAACGACCTGTCTCGCGACGATGTTGCAATGTCTCTGCGAAATCTTGTAGCCGGGTCGTTAGCAAAGCAAGCTGCAAAGCAAAGCGCATGCTCGGAAACACTCCCTGCATGCCACTGTACGGTCCCTCCGTTGTCGCCAACTGAAAGGGACTGCAAGCCCTACTCTTTTACAAACCGGCCCTCGAATTTGCACCTCAGCCACGGTTGTGAGCTTATCAAAGTAAGTCATGCCTGATATGGATCCTAATCCATATTTTGCAGAAGTAGCGGTGTCCTTGTTGTACGCCTAGTGATGTTTGAGCATGTAGTCTTCAGTCCTATCAAAATCAAAGTTCCGCAGTTGAACCATGATCCTCGCAGACCGAAGGTTGTGCTTTATTGGCTTGTGTGTTGACCATCGTTTTGTTGCATGAGTGCGGGCAGGACTATGCCGCTATGCCTTGGGTCTTCATTCTGAGACTACTGCCGCCAACTGCTAAGTGCAAACGATGATGAAGAACATGAAGATCATTGTTACTATATTACTATTATGGTGATGATCATTGGTCGCGATTTCTTTGACGTGGGTCCGGTCTCTCATGACTGCGGTTCCGTGCCGAAGTATAGTGCCCCAATCAGAAGCCTAGCGATGCTCAAGTTCATTTCCAAGCTTGACCTGCTGCGGAATGGAGCCAAACAGGCTTCTTGGAGAGAAATGCCAAGACCGGCTTCTGCGTCGCTGCAACCGCTGGGGGCATCGCAGTTCTTCTGGCCTCGGCCTTGTGGATGGGTAGGTCGTCACTGCAAAGATCGAGCCTTGACTGAACCAACGGGGCTTGTGATTCAGTTTCATGCGCTTCAAACTCAATTACGAAGGCTTCGAGTGTCATCATCCTATGCGAGCCTTAGAAGCCTTAGGAAAAATCTGCCAGGTGTGGTGCCGTCAGCGAAGGAAGGCAGAAGGAAACAAGGTATGAAAGTTTGTGAAAGCAAGGGACTCCTCTATAGAACCTTGGACAGTGGGGTCTCCATCGTAGGACTCCTAAGTCAGAGATCCCTGGGTATAGGTCTAGTTTTTTTCTGGTAGCCCGGGTGGATGGATCCCTAAGGTCAATGCTGCAGGTTCAAACAGGTACGGTTTGGTCCTTTGCTCCTTCATTACAGCCGTAGGCATATAATGCCAGAGACCGAGCGAAAACTCGAATTTCGGCTTGGTACCATGCTGCCGGGAAGGGTGCATCGTGGTTCTACCATGTCCCAAGTTCGGGATCCCAGTCCTGATATGGAGTAGGGCTATAATGTCTGTGTTCAATGAATGTTTACATATTATGGGCTAATTGGAGCCTTAGGCAAACATCTGCAATAGCCAAGCGAGGCTGTCAACAGGGATGCCAAGCGGAGCAGGTGTTAGAATTGCACGGGTGGACCCGAGACCGTGAAGCTATTCAATCATAAGCCGCCTCCACTCCGATGAAGCAGAGAACTGCCCCAGTGAGGGTTTTCTACATCATGGCCCCTTGTCGGGTCGTTGATGCACGACGATACCTACCTTATATAGATGGAAGCTATTCCGATCTGGACGCTCAGTCAATGCCCAGGGAGTTCGCCAACCTCTCTGAGAAAGACTTGATGCAGTGTGGTCGGCAGCTCAAGTGGAAGGCTTGCGCAGCAGCTCTTGGCTAATCACTTGTTTCGAACTGCAAAAAGTTACAGACCGAACGTCGGGAATGTTGCAGTTTCTTCGAAGATGAGTTGATGGTTAGGGGTTTGAGGAGTTGCGAGCTACGGGCTTATTCGGGATTTGGGGATTCGAGGGTTTGTCGATATGGTTCAAACACTGCTGTATAAGTGCTCATAGGTGGAGCTTGAGAGGACATGCTTCGCAGGCTTTTGGGTTTGATGGTCAATGGCTTCGTGCCACTACCTTGAATGGTTGCAGGGGTTCCGAGTCCCGACATGAAGAGCTTGTATCTCGGACGCATCCATATCGAGCATGACATTGAGACTAAAAATGCAAGACTTTGCCAATTCAGTGCGAGGTTTCATGTTGCCTCTTTGCAGTTATTCCCTTGCTGGCCAAGTGCTGAGCCACACGGGTGCTGAAATTTGCTGAATTGGAGGCCAAAGCTTCGGATATTCCGATATCCTTAGGGCAATCTCCCACAGGTAACTACTGTCGGCGCTGGTCTTCCAGTGTTCATCTTCTGAGCGTGCATGGTTTCTGGGGTGCTCTAATTATGTATTTCTGTATAATATGAATAGATGGATGTGTACAGTAACACAAACATATCCATATGTATATATATATATAGATATACATATGTATATATATATATATATATATATATATATATATATATATATATATATATACTGTACGAAACATAC